AACCTTTCGTAGAAGAATACCAAAGCTATGACACATTATTGGATATGTCTCGTGGTTGATACATATTGATGAATGGCCTGTGAATAAATATGATTTTGAAATTATACGTTTAGTGTTTCATTGTAACTTGATATATGGCTCACCTGTTTATCTTGCGCACATTGCACATCGTGTAACGTCGTGTAACGTTGTGCAATCCCACAATTTAGTCTTAGTCTCGAGGACATGAATTCCGTGAAGAGTTGTATAATTGACTAATAACAGTTTCGCATTTGATTCCAAAATTTCGATTTTCGAAAGAATTTGTAATAAATTTTTCAATTTTATTGGTAAGTGTTAAAAAAATAAAAGATGTACAATATTATGAGATATTTGTCTAAGTATTAAGATCAAAACACCACAATTGTTTTTGTGCTTGATTAAATTATCAATCTAGTTAAGAATATTGCTACTTCAAAATAGATAATAACACAAGGTTAGGGTCAAAATGTAATTAGAAAAGGAAAGAAAATGTATAACCCACATATAATTTATAACATAAAATTATGCAAAACCTCCTGACAACCAAAGTGCTCCTTAAGAGTAACCGATGAAAAACACACACAATGTTTGCAACCGAGATGGCATGTGTTATTGAAGTGTAAGGGTTCCCTGTATTATGTGTTCTACGTCATGATATCGCAAACTCAATCGCAGAGTATTGATTTAAGACAAAGAAAACAAGTCCACTCAGGTCATGGAGGAGATTGTCGTATTATATTGTCTTAACGGTCAAAACTAAGATGCCATGGATCAGGAAAATATTAATGAGCGAATTTCCAACCTTTATTACCCATTAAACGTTGTAAAATCACACACCATAGGGCGCTGGACTCAATAAGACGGTGATACGTGTTGATAGGTTGAATGCCGAGCCAAGTACTCTCACCCTCTATGGATATTGTTATGATCAGCCTCTTGTGAATCAAAAGTGTAAACCGCTGGAATTATGTACTACATGTTATAAGAGTACGCTGAACTTTAAACCGCATACAACTATAAAGGAAACGAAACGTAACCCCCCCCAAAAGAGTCATTTTTTTTGTAACAACAAAATGCTATTCATGCAAGAAAAGTTTTGTTTAATTCGATGTAATACCTTTTTTCTCAATACGATCAGTATTTCATTGGCAGCTGACTTTGCATTGTTTTGAAGATAAATTTATAAACGCTTATTAAAGAAAAGACAGACAAAGGATGCTTGCTCGTGCCCTTGAATTCACATTCATATAAATTGTCGTTTTTTTCTGTAATAACTACATTTCCAAATAGCTTTTGCATGCCATTATCCCCAGATCGGAAATCAAAATTTCATATCTTGACATTTACAGAAAGACAATAATACTTCAGACACCAATTTCTGAACTAAATTTACTGACTTTAATTTCACCATCGCTGACTTTCCTTTTCCCCGTAGTAACATAGCGTGCAAAGCTCACTAATAATATGTTGGCCAAGAGCAAGTATTCGACTTTAATATCTATTTAAAACGTCTTAACATTAACATTGTTTATGATAAAAACCATCGCATTCATCAGCAGACAGAGGTCACATGGTTTTTAACTGCTTGCCAAGTCGTTCAAAACAAGTAATCTTTGTACATGTTCCCCAACGGTTCACTAATATATACCGTCGTTTGTACAGCTGGTTCACAAGGAAGGATGAGGATGCTATCAACTAATGCAAATAGCACCCACACGTATGTATTTACAGTATACCAGTTGACACGGTCATTTAATTATGATACAATACTACGCTAAAACCATGTGTACGGTGGTGTACAGGTATGGATAGATAAACAAAGTTGTTATATATACGAAAGTCAAAGCTGCAATTTTACTCATATCCAACCAGAGAGCAGATAGTCAACTTAAGACCATCAGTCAAAATGAGTACCTTACACTCAGTTTAGCAGACTTCTGAACACGGAATATATTAGACACTTTTCTCAGGAAGAGTAGCACACAAAAAATGAAAATGAAATAAAAATAAAATAAAATAAAAATAAGAAAGAATAAATAAATAATAGATATAAGAAATAACATCACCGAACAATCTTAAACAATACATCTGCTAATACTTAAGAGATGTTGAATTTCAATACACCTATCTCAACATGTAATCCTTCAAATGCATCTCCTTTGCACATTATGTAGTTTGCGATCATTTCATGATGATGGACAGGGAAGGACCGGGGGAAGATGGCAAGATGTACTGGTAACACTTAACATGAACAGACATCAATATAACAATCTTTAGTCAGAATAATGTTAAATAGAATACATGTATAAGTAAGAACATGTTACTGCGTCAGTTTAACGACATGAAAGGCCTATAAATCATTGATCTCTACGCAACACGTTTAGCATTCCCGACTCGATATCCTATCATTTAGATAATTACCGATATGAGACTGTGAACATCTTTAAACCTTTTAATCTCTCTCCAGGTCTTGAAATGTAGCATTTAAACCTTTTTAAAGCATGTCTAGTTTGTCGAATCTGGTGTCCATGATATGGCTGTAATAGTTTATATCCGGTTGGCGACATCGTTGATGCAATCACATTAGAAAATGCGGGCAATAAAAAGTCTGGGGAGACCAATCGTTGCGAATCACTCGTGCTATAATATTGGACACTTTCTTTTTCAAATTGTCAATACACCGCTTTACACACCTTATATTTAGTTTGTGAATGGCGTTTATCCTGATCTATTTGACAATGTTTATTATTGACGTTCAATGGTTATAAATTATTAGCTATGATGTAAATATTAGCTAATTATTAGTACTTTATAAGGACGCTTATCACTTTGTTAATAAACCTTGTACGTTTGATAAAAACGTACATAATTGAACTTGTGACAAACTTAATTAAATCCGTTACAGCCCTCAACATGTAAGGACAAAACCAGAAAACGAATAGATTTTTGTGTGATCAGTGGACAGGGAAAGCTGAACCTACCTTTAAGAGTTTGTTACATGTATCCAGCACACGGCTTTAATGCTGGACAGACACACTTTCAGCTTCATGAAAACAAGGAAAAGTACGCCAATAGAAAAATGTCGTATTTTTGCAAACGTTTCTCTAAGTTCTTTCATCGTTCAACTTAATTGGAACAAAAAGTTTCATGGAAAGAAAAGAGGTGTATCTTTGGTTCAGTTTTATGTTTGTGTTTTACGTCCTATTAACAGCTTGGGTCATTTAACGAGAGAGAAAAACCACCGACCTACGGCAAGTACCTGGCGAATGTCGCAAGCCTCAATTTCGCGACCTAGTGGTGAAGGGCTAGTGATAGAAGAATGTCAGACGCCTTAATCACTTTTGCCATCGCGACCCCGGATGCGGCATGAGGTATAAAAATACAAACGTTGAAACAAATAGATTAATCCAAATAAATCCTTTCAGTTCGTCAAAATCAAAATTCTATTCATTCGACTTCTTGCGTATGAAGTGTCGGAGTACGACTTTTACCCTGATTCAATAGTACTAATATTGATACTTAGAGGTTCTGATATTTGCCAGGTTGAGCACTGGCAGAGCCAGACATAAATCTTGTTTACACAGATTTTTGTTAGTTACAATGTTCTATTGAAAAGAGGCGGAGCAGTATCCTTATCCCTCCTGTACGTTGTACCTGGCAACCGGTATTCGGAAAGGTTTTAACACACCAGTATGATAAGCTTGTATAGTTTGCAAATATACAGCTAAATTTATTTGGTGTCAAGCAGGCCTATTGCCATTGCAAGCAAATCTATAACAGTTTCTGTAAAGAACCTTTAAATTAACTGATGATTTTTCCGTCGACATTATCACAAAAGTAGCTTGCATATCGTTTTGTATCGTCTGAAGATTTGTGTCAAGTGTATGGATTTCGAACCGCTTATTATTTTTTGAATTATGGATCAGATAAAGTTGAAGCACTATAAAAGATAATTCCTTTTTGTATGTCCGCGCTTTGGAGGATGTCGGGGGTAGTTGATCCCATAAACTATCAGGATCTTGAACTTTACACATCTGATTGATAGCCTTTGGTGCTCTACGAATAATCCTCGTGTTTTTACATTATAATGGCTATTCGGTTACGAAACAAGATGGTCAAAATCCAATTAAATTCCAGAATTATGCGGACATTTGTTTTGTTTTAATTGAACCAAAAAAGGTGAAAAGGATATGATACATTGTTGCATGTTTTTGGATTGGGAATGGTGTAAAAGCCGAAATATGCACTTCAACAAAACATTAGCTACACTTCATCGGTCAAAAGACAAATGGGATGTGTCTGAATTTAAAACAACATTCGAATACTTCAGCGAGGTATTTCAGATAAATGATTTACAACAATTAATGAAATCAGACCTCTTAGAAATCTTAAGATCGAGTACCGATGTCAGATGAAGCTGCGCGCAAATGCGACAAAAACAAATTGATTGCATTGTATAACATGCAATTTGTTGGTCCACTGCAAGTTCGGGAGGTTTTAAAATGGAACATTAAGTATCTGCTTCCCTATAACAATACTCTTAATGATTTAACTATAGACACTTATTGCCAAAACAACTTTATGTAACGAACACATAATAATTCGAGTTTTTTTATATACCGCTTTATCACAACCTAGTTCGTAGGTCTCTTAAAGCGGTTCACAAATTATAACCCGTGGTTATACGGTCTTTGCAACCAGACAATATACAGCCGGTGCCGCCATTTCGGCGTTCAGCTAGCATTCAACAATTCCAGCACTGCCAACCACGTACCCATTTACAGCTGAGTAGACTGGAACAAACGGAGTAAAGTATCGTACTCAAAGATACAGCACAGTGCCGTGACGTGACACGAACCCGCAACCCTTCGGTCAGGAGCCCGGCGTTTTTCCACTAGACTATACTGTGCCTCCGTAACAATCATACAAACACACTAAATGAAGATGTGACTATGCAATATGGTTATCGTTTGTCTTACGATTGGACAGAGGAATTCCTTGTCTTCCTCTACGCCACAAGATTAATACAATGGTGGTGTAACAGGCTCCAATTAGTACAGCCGGCACGAACATGTTTGTAGAGGCAAACAAAAGAATCAGGGGTTTCGTCTGCGAAGTAAAAATATATTATTATAATGATTTTGCTGCATTAAAAGAAGATACCAAAGAATATCTGCATTATGTATACCGTATTTTAGCTTTGCATTAACAATTCAATTATTAGATAGCATTGCCAATAAGGTTAAACACCTTGATAAGTCATATTCAAAGACTACAATAACAATTGAAACCTATATATGTAATTTAAATACTTTGAATGTATACATTAGTTCAAATACTTAGCGAGGTTAGTGTAGTCAGTAATAATGCATTGAGGCCGATGTCTTTGTAAAAATATTTGACCCGATTAATACCATGTCAATCTGCTTTACAACCAAGCCGAATGCGGAGAAATGACATATGAAATTTAGGTCAGTTATATACATTTAGCAAAACAGACTGGAATGATGTAAAACTTGCCATGGCATGACGTCATTTCATTGTCTTTACATTGAGACGTCATGCTTATGCAAGACAGATTGATAATTTGTTTTGCATGGCGTTCCTTCATAGGATAACTGTATCTTATGTGGCCAGCTTTGTATAAAATATACTTTATGAACCCTTTTCTTTTGTATCATCATCCCTTTTTAACGCTTTCTTTTCATTTTTTTCCCCAAATAAAACGCTCTTTAACATTAAAAACCATCTGCCTTTGCAGAATTGGGTTAACAGAATATGTATCGCAGTTGTACGTTATCAGATTGACAGCAGATTAGCAACTCCTGACATCTATATCTATAACTTACCATATTATCTGGGTAGATTATTTCACAAAATGGTATATCATGTGCAGGGGTGGGTATTCCGGTGACTATCTTGGCAAACACCAAGTCATAGATACCCAACATGGCTGCGATGACCCAGGCTATAATGACCAGCGTCCACTTGTAGAACATGCCTCGTTTGGTGGCGGACAATGGCCGAGCGATAGCATACAATCTGTCCACACTTAGAACCACCAGCATGTAGGTAGAGGCGAAACACACGACCAAACTTAAGTACTTGATTAGTTTACACATGAACAGACCGGCCAGCCAGACATCCAATAGTCTGTCTATCACCACTGGGAAGATGTAGAACACTGCCATCAGAAAGTCTGAAATGAAGTAAACATTATTGTCTTTTTCTTGCAAAACACCAAGTCTTTGTGGCGGTATAAATTTCATTTTATAAAGAAAGAAAAAACAGATAATGACTTTTCACTTCTTTGATACATGTTAAGCCACATGACTGCTCTCTTATAAAGTCAGATTTACGTCAAACATGTATCAAAATACACAGCGATAAAACATTCGACAATCCTTTGGCAATCAGCTTATAATGTAACTATGAATAATCATAATTGTAATTTTAATTACAAAAGGTTTATTTTTCTTTACAATAGGGTTAGTGCTGTTTATGAAAATGACAAAATGATGAACATGTGATTAACATTTAACATACAGTTTTTCTAGTTCATGGATCATTGAATAGAGTAACGTAAACGCGCTTACAAAAGCATTGTTTAGTAAGCAGAAGAAAAATCAAAGGGAATTTCATGTTCCATATATAAATAAATATATGGTGGCAACTTAATAAAAAAATGAAAGAGTTCCCCCCAATATCACCCTGCAGATGAAATAAACAAAATATAGCCAACAACAGCGTTTCGAGTGTAAAAAAATACTCATCTAGACTAGACCCGGATTTCAACTGTAAACTTCAAACTGCTAAAATATCGCTCTAACCGATGAGCAACTTGGTCAACGGAAGTGTTTTGGCTCAACTAATCAACACGTATGTCAAAACGAAAATTTAGGGAAGGTAACTTTACTTTAAAAAAATACAGTGCAGAGGGACAGGGATCCTGAGATGCATTTGTGTTTCCTTTTACGTGTTGTACGGCAAAGGTACAGTAACGTCTACAGGTAAAATTACCTACTGTACATTAATACCTCTGAACGGAAGTCACGCGCTATGAATGCCATGACATGTTGTCTTACATCGTGAAATGGTTTAAAGCCAAACATGATATAACCTTGTGATATTACAGTAAATTGTTGTATGTCAGCGTGAGCGTGAATATTCCAGTGATACTTTCGATTATTAATTATGTTATAAACATCACTATTTAGATTATTATATCCTTTCTTCACTACTTCTAGCATCCCTTCTACAATAAAAAGCTCAGCCGCATCCTACAAATATGAACATCTCTATTCCAAATAAAATTTGGACATCAATTTTCAAATTCAACTATCCGTAGTAAACACTATATTTGAACATCCTCTTTCTTAAAAGACTCTCCGTATTTGACAATAAATTTGAACGTCACCATTCTTAAAGCGTTCTCAATTGTTAACAACCTATATAAACGTCACTAATCCAGTAACAGTATTAATGTTTCCTACCTTGGCCCCCATTAAATGAAGTCCAATGTTCGTTCCACCACCTGCACTTCATGTAGTAACTTAAAGAATGCATGACATATCAGGTTATTTCATTCACTGATGGTTTATTTTCGAACCTATCAATTCTCAAAAGTACATATTGTCAGAAATACATCAGTGTGATTCTATTGCGATGTATTTGACGTCACCATTTTCGCCACAAGCCTCGCTGACGTATCAATGGACACTTTTATGGTCCATGCAATTTCCTTTTCTTTTATATTTACAAAATAGGATAATTTGGACGATTGATAGAAACATGCCTGGTGATGAAATCATATAGTTTAATGTGAGCATGCCTCATGCTAGTTTACATACAGCCTAGTTAAAAAAAAAAACATTTCAGATTGATAACAATTATACAGACATTTGTCATTCCTGCTGCGCCATCATGAGTATTGGTTTGGCAAGCTTTTAATTAAACAGTTTTAAAAAACGATCTGGGATCGCTAATCAGTTGTTTGTTTACGGTATAAATCACTCTGGTAACCGAACTGTCAGCAGGCCAAGTAACGGAAAAAATAAATGTGACGTGTTCCACGTACAAGCAACATATAATTGACAATTACAGTATGCTCACAATTCGGCTATCCTAGATCAAGACCTTTCTATATACGAGGGAGTGGCAACTGGTTCACAATAGATATAGGTTTAACCATATTAATTTGTCGCGAGGATAAAACGTGGGAAACATACTTAAAACCTATATTTAAACCACATGCAGACAACTGTAGGATTTTATCACTTGACAAGAAAGGTTCCAATAAACTTCTAATGCGTGATTTGAATAATGAATGTCAATGCAATACTGTTTGTTTTTTTTGTAAACCCCATGCTGATGTGTTGTTTCCGCAACACGCCTGCCATTGCAAATGTGAAGGTATGTTAGAGCCACACTGGTGTTTTCCCTGTTTTTTTGTTTAATTTATAAATAAAATTGACGAAGCACACTAAATATAAGCTTAATACTACTTTTACTGAAATAAATGCTACAAGTTATATGTCCTCACCATGTTCGTGTTTCATAGTGAGTCAATGTCATTACATGTATATTTCATATTGTTTATCTTTGTTAGTCACTATTCCAATAGTCGCATTACAATCCTACTTATTATTTTGAGAAGTATATAAAACACTAACATAAACGGCCGAAATGTAAACAAAACCATAGTCAACATGAAATATAACGCGAATAATATATGGTGTTCTGGAATATTAGATGTCCTTTGCTTCATCAACGATTTAGCAAATTTAGGTCAAATCGAGGTAATGTAACGTTTACAAACTGAGAACATGGATACTGCCAACAAAATAACACTCCAGAGAACAATTAAAACGTGAATATTAAAAAAAAGGAAATCGAATATTATTATCAAATGAAAAATGATGGAGAGCATAATCGTCATCAACGAACTCTAAAAAAAAACCAAAAAACCGTAAAATCTATATAATTAACTGATATGTTTTGATGCTGATTGAACTCAATTTAGCCTGAGTGAAATGTTTCAGCGATATCGTTAAATTGTGTTAAATCAAACGTTGAATAACAAGAATACATAATTGATGGTTTGTGGTGACATGAACTAAACGTGCTAGTGTTGATATTACCAAAGAGCGTCCGCCTTTTCCAAAACGTAAATCAAACAAAGGTGACGATTAAATGGGCTGACAGATTCTAAAAACTTGATAGAATGGAGGGAGTTTGGCATACTATTATCTAATGATCCCACTCTCCCGAAAGATGAACCTTAACGAAGATGATAGATCCATTCGCTGACAGATTATATAACTAACGTAAACGATTTACACAAGGCGTTCTGTCCACACAACAAAAACCCTTCCTTTCTCAAATATAGAGAACGGAAGTGAGCAGATATGGGTCAAATGCTCTGGTGGATTGCATGCACCACTCAAAAAATTAATAAAACAGACCACAACAAAATCAATGAACAAATGTATATCTTTTAATCAGAAACGGCCCAGATACACAAATGTATCAACGCTAACGACTTCTGAATCCTGATTCTGGCCAACCGCCTGTAATTCATTTATTAATACAGTAGCGCACGTTATTCTAATCACGATACTACGATTTCATGTGCGAGATCAGCATTGCACTTTTAAGATTCAGTAGGAGGCGACTTTGTTTATGACAAATCTGATATGTACTTTTACGTTCGCCCATGAGTTATTTAGATTTATTACGAGTCCAAAAAGCAATTCCGTTTCTTATAAACCGCGTAAACTATTTATAATGGGCTCGATTGTGCAAATGGGGGAATATAATTAACCTAATGCATGCAGGTATATGATATATGGGGAAACACAAAGCCATCTGAAAGATATATTGATCAATGTCTGCAGTTTCTTTCCGAGAAAATCAAAATAAATCGTAATTAGCAAACCCTTGCCTATACAGATGCTACTAATCCAACAAAACACTTGAAGAAATATTGTCAATGAAACAATTCCATAGTCTCGTAAAAACGATTACCGAATAAAGAGCTGGGTAACCACTGTTCTGTCATTATTTTAGGGGATGTCTGCTACAATGCATCCTCGATACTCAAGGGGTTACGCTTACTTACACTCTCTACACCCCTGTAATATGTCCTAGCAACATTGAAGGCTCAGTGTGCGCCACCTTGTTGATGATACAAGATGACTAGTTTGATCCTTTGATATACATAAAAAGAATATCGCGGTCACGTAACGGTAAAAAATGACAGTCTTTTATGTCGGGCGTCTCTCCTTTGTAATCTTCAAAGGACAGGTATCAGCCTAGCGATTGTTTAGTATTTTTTTAAATAATGATTGAGTAGTAAGCAGTAGTGACTCAGAAACAAAAGAAAGAGATAATACGCGAACTGCAAACGAAATCTGTCCTATACCACGAAAAAAGACTTGTACTACTGGTAAGTCTACAGCCAGTTTAGATGAGATATACTGGAGTAACGTATGAAAAGAAATTGTTTCATTATACCATACTGTGTGTTAAAATTTGATATCTTGTTTTTAACAATTGCAAAATAAGCATCAAACTATGAACAGTGGCATTGTAATACTGTAACATTGTAAAATGTGTAATATTACCCGCGACGTTTTTCTCAGTCCGAGGGCTGATATTGGTCGAGGGTCAAAAAGTATTAGGATATGGAAATGGTGATATCATAATTTTCTTATCATATACTACATTGTAGAAACACTTTCATACACAATTAAAAACATCAGCAACACAAATTATGTGTTATTGAGCTAGTCAGATCTTTTTCCGCAATGTGTTGAAACACATTAAACGTTAACAAGTAAAATGAATATTGTGCGTGTCGGGCGGATATGGTGCAAACTGTACGGATATGGCGCGCGCAGCCAGTTACTGGGCGGTTTTTAATATGGGCTGTGTGCAAGCACTCTATACTCCACATTATCGAGATAGACCCAGTGGATACTATCCATTTAATACTTAAACAAACGACGCCTGAGTAATAGTAACTGGATTATTAAAAACGAAAGATAACTTACATTCATCAATTCGTAATATGATGTCCTTAATTGAAATTAAAAGAAAAAACTGATTAAGATAAAAATGTTATTTCAATTTGCATATTGCATATCGACATATTGCATTTTCGAATGCAAAGTGTGATATTACGAAACGTACAAATATTGTGAAAAACATATTTATATCAATCAAAATAATATGTCAGGTCTTTTATATTAAAACTGTTGTCAAATTAATGCATTTTCGAGCTTTTTCCTTATGGGATGTGCCAGTGGTTATGGTACCACGCGCGTGTTTTCCATTAGGTTTATGAGATATGCCTTTAAATTGATAGGATATGTCTAGTCTTTGTACGAGGCTATCGCTGGTGTAAACTGAAAGTCGTTTATCAGGACTAGAGAAACGAGTTTTGAAATAAATAATGATAAATCAGCTAGCTTAGACAAAAGTAAATCATTTATGCATACGAAAATGAGCACCAATATTAAACGTCAACCAAACTAATACTGGCATACATCAAAGTCGAAACAAAACGGGAAAACATGGCAAAACACGCAAACACAATCACAGGAGAATGAAAAAAGAAAACAATCGTGAGCCTCACAGAGCAAAGGACGCGCATCTAGGGCTAAGTCGATAATACAAATGATTAAATTCATATTATCAAAAACGTGACCTTTGAGATTTATTTTCTTTGTATTTTGTTTCCTATGGATTATCATGTTAAATCCTGATACATAAACTCAAATTTTGAGTTTTGATTTAATTTTGTTGTTTTTCTATTATTTTAATGATATAATATTTTTACGTTTTGCATTATGTCGTCTTTTAGCTAATCAACTTTTGAATGCAAGTAAATCAGCAGTGATCGAAGACAAACATGAAATGCTTTTTGTATCGTGGTGAATACTAATATCGGATGGGCGGAAATCATGACATAGTTCTATGATAAACGTGCCGATTGCATTTTTTCAATCATGAACTTTCCCTTTCTTGCTAGACACATTCTTCATCTCCAATGTTTAAATGTCGTCGGTGATTCGATATGTTAGGACTTGCTCCAATTAACACGACGTTGAATGCTGATGGACAAATGTGGAACACAGGGATTAAAAAATAGGATTTGATGAAGACTGTGAATAGTGTTTAATCACTGTTTATGCTTGCAATAATATCATTTCATCAGGGAATATTTCTTCCCATGCAATATGAATACCGACGTTTTCTTTTATGCTTTTTATTGTGTTTTGTGTTTTTAGTCACAACCTCGGCTTATTACTGAGGTAAGAACAAAATGTTCTTGACGGTCGATTTAGCAGGAAACGCTAACCCTACCGAAATACCTGGTCTTTGTTTTCGTTCTACTTCCTTTACTGAAATATTCTGCTGTAATTTCATTAAATTTGAGTGATGATGTCGGCTTTATTCACGCTTAGGTTATCTCCTTTTATTGTTTGTTGGTAGTTTCTCTGTACTAGGACGATATTTGTTGATGAGTAATAATACAAGCAAACGCAACATCAATATATTTAGTTCGAAAAATGATTTCAAAGTTAAAGAAGACATGTATATAATTATGAAATATAAAGAAAAGATAAAGGGGAGAACACGATAAGATAAGAACACATACAATTCAATTAACATTTCAGAATTTCCATTTGACACGAGATAATCTCATACGTATCAATGAGTTCTAGGGGGACAGGAGCTTTATTTCACTGATAATTTTGTATCCATCATTATATAGATATATAATTGTTTGCGTTGAATTTTGCGATATCTTAAATCCCGCATTTACATTTTCCATTGAATCTGCCAACGTTTGTTACTCATCGTTGACTTTAATAAACGTGTTTTATCATCCTGCTCTCCTAGTGGATTAAATAAAACCATTTGTATTGATTTAAATCACTTCAGTGTGATTATATCTGTACCTTCAAAGGTTTGGAGCCACAATGTTTAAAACACTGCCGATAGGTGTGTACTTAATAACTTACTATGGAATTGAATAGACATAATCGCAAAAACAGTATATGATTTAGACATCCCTACGAAGTGATAAGACGTAAAACCCTATACAGCCAACTAACCAACCCTTGGCAATATGTCTACATTTATTGTCCATAATGGATATATTGAATAAACATATGGCTATACATATGTATGTATTTTGCAACATATCAGTCATATCAATGCGATCTTCTGTTATTGCAATCGATATAAAGTAATTTTGTAGCAACATCTGGAAGAGAAGTATTCTCTTCGGTAGTTAAACAAATCGTACTTATTTTCAATATGACTTAAATTGTCAAAACGTAACCACCCAATTCTATGACAAACGTATCACTTTAATTCGCAGTCGTTATATTGTATTGGGTAATACTAGACCCTGCACATGTAGTTCATAGGTCACAGTTGTTTATCCGTCATCATATAGTATCAGGGTAAATGCATCCTGTTGAAAACTGAACTGCAATGCCAGGGTTTCCTAACAGGGACGTTTTGAATTACATTGAGTAATTTTGCATAAGTTATCATCACTTGCTTTCCAACTATACCATTTTAGTGTTTACCATTGTTAAACACTTTTGTTAATTGCTTATCGTTTGTTTTCAGTATGCCTTCCTTGACAGGTGCGAAAATGAAGCTCCTAGTTTTGCTAATTCTGTAACAGTTTTTTGTAAAACACCAATTAATACACCGATTTATCACAGAAGGAATCAAAACGAATATTAGAGATAAAATGTTTACCTGTTAAAAAGAAAATATTTAATGTGACATTGTAATGAAATTTTTGTTTTGTATGTGACGTTTTGCTAAGGAGTCATCTGATTCAAATTATGTTGACGGTTGTTAGGACGAGATCAACAAAACTACAACATATTCGTGGTCTTGTCATGTTTTATAATTTGCATATACGAATTGTTGCTTCTGATGTTAAATACGCCTTAAGGTCACCTCATTAGTGTGCTTTTTAGTAGCCATTATAGTTGTTCTCATTTTCAGAACGTTACATCACCTGCATGTCACCAAGACTTACGCGGTTGGCGTTGGCGATGAAGCTGAACACTTTTAACCTTCAGAATAATAATAATAATAAAAAATACTTTTATCGTTTTCAATTTTAATGTTTCTCTTGTTTTATTTAACTCACACTTAGGAAATACTTTGTTGTTTCTGGGTGATTAATGTCTAAACCAAAATATGATACTTACACCGATTTTGAACGAAGTGTACAAATAATAACAGATAGATTATACTCAACCGGAAATGGCTAGATGCAGAACGAAGAATGACATCCGGTTTCGTTTTTTATTCCTCTTCAACAGACCAATGACAATGGCATTGAGTATGAACGCACACACGAATTCCACACAGATGATTGCAGTGGCAATATTCCATATAAGCTGCAAAGATATATAGAGATGATTTAATATTGTTTCAACTTATAACCTGTAATCACGATGACATATTTCTTGCTTAAAAAAGAAACATCCAGTTAACAACAAAGATCAGATATTTTTCTTTGTTTTAAACTGTGTTTATGTTGATATGCTTATCCGTACAGAGAAAACAAAAACAATAATACTGAAATGGTTCGTCACTACTGTGGTCAGTAGATAAGGAAGTCTTAGGTTAGTAAAAACCAGGGTGTTTGTGCAAAGGAATCCTGAGTCAAAACAGATGAAAAATGATTTAGCTGTGTACTGTAAATATTTGGAATTATTTTTGTGTTTTAATGATCAGAATAAGAAACGACAACAGCCTACATACATGTACTAACGCCACGTCGTGGCAATCTTTAGATCGAATTGCGTAGCAGAGTAATGCGCTTGAAGCCCCGCTGTTATTTCAACGGTATGTAGAACAGTGTTTAGAAGTTTCAACAATGCATAACAGAACTGGACGTTCTATATTATCCTGTATATTTATATATTTCGAGAAGAAAACAGACATTTTGATTATTTAGTAATTTGTTGTAAAATATGAGACACGTAAGGCTATATTGGATTGTTAGGTTATGTTTTTATCGAGATTTCGCGGGGACATAATTTTCCCGGTTCATGAAGCAATGGGAAATGTTGCAAAAAATGAAGCCAATATAAACATTTCGCATACACAAGATTAACCAAATACTAAGAGCTTCGCTTCTTGCGCCGAAGGCGCAAGAAGCGAAGCTCTTTTCCGGTAACATGTACGAACAATTGAAGTCATAAATTGTAGTAACGTCGAAATACTATGCTTCCAAAATCCTTCGTCAAGGAAGTAGCTAGTAAAGAGTTACCGCGGTCCTATTTTTACAATGCTATTTGGCTTTGCTACACATTCTCAAAACTATCTCTTTATTTTATATATTTTTTTCTGTGTTTATGTAAATTCATGACATTAAAAAGTATAGAAACTGAAGCTTCTTTCAAATTTTCAGTCTTTTCTTCTCTCCACCCAAACTGGAAGTAAATAGTAACTACCAAACCAGACGGAAATCCGAATATGTTTGGGCTATTGTTATTTTCTTTTTACACGATTTAGAGGGATCCGGCAAAGTATATCATGTCGGAAAATACAATTGGAATTTAATCACCACTATACTTAACTTTTATAATAACCGATAATAACAGTTATATTTGATAAACAATACATCTTCAAATATGAAGTCCCTCCACTGGGCCTCACTCTTTCCGCAACATTACGATGAGGCCATAGACAGGGCAATTAAATGCAAGAGTACCAAAAGCATTTGCGTTTTGAACTGCATAATTCATTCGAATGCTTTTCTTTACTTATTAATAATTTTACATTTATCGCATAAAACGAATAAATAGATAATATTTTAAACAATGTTATTTAGAAAATAAGATTGAAAAAAACAGCATTTAGACGCTTCTCTCGTTTCAGGCAATGCCTGTTTTCAAAATGAATGATTTTGCCCAGCAACAGATTCAAGTTTATTATAAAAAAAACAATTACAAGTACATTTTGTATGTATTAAAACGGGAAATGATATGATTCAAAAATTATACTATACTATTGAAAAAAATTGCTGCGCTCTCTCCAGGCCATGCCTGAGTCATATTATGAGTAAATACAAGCATGGTGGCTTCATAATAAATAGTTGTAAATAGATTAAACTAACCTCAGGGAAATGAAGCTAAATATTAAACGACGATTTTATTGTCCAACCAAAGTTACAAGAACTAAACCTGACGATAGATATAAAGAAACCCACATAAAGATATAACAAGGTGCCACGATAGGGAGGCATTTCCAGTTATATTAGTTTCGATCTAGCCTTCATAGCGCAGTAGATAGAGATCAAACCCGATGTGAATCAAGAAGTAACACAACGAACTGGTTTGATGAAGCAAATTGGCCCTGCACGTGAATAATACTATTGTTGTTATTTAAACAATTTGAATATTGTCTAAAGGCAATCAGAGAAACATCAAACTTTCATAAACAACCAAAAACGTTTCTCAATTTTGCGAGTACATGAGCATAAATGAGGGAAATACATGTATTATTGATATTACCTTGTGGTCGGAATATGTTTCTGGCCTGTTCGGAACCAATTCGGTCGCATTATCAGTAAACGTCATCGTGACAACTTCACTTATAGCCGACCAATTCTTCATGATGCCTTGGGAATAGTGTTATATCAAATCCGACAGCTCACGCCTGTTTCCTTATTTCAACAGGATAAAATAAATGTCTTTTTCTATGTAGCTATGTACTAGCTATGCAGGTTCTCCAAACAATCCCCCTGGTCGATTCATGTTGAACCTTGCTGCAATTGCGTTCGATCCTATCCTTGAGTTGTTAGAATTCAATTGAATGTCTTTGAGCAAGTCGTATACAATTTTTAAATCCAAGCGGTCGTAAGGTGTATCGACTGGAGGAGTTATTTCCATGCAACCATTTCATATGACAGCGTCAATGTTATGAAGATCCTGCCCTCCTCCGAAACACCCACTCAGTCAGTAATCCAGATGTATCTGTAAATTAAATAAACTAAGTTTTTAGATTTAATAACTTTTTGTTTTAAGGACAAATCCTTTATATTTCAAATCAAGCCAAATAAGATATAAAAATGAAGTATATACAATACATGCATAACTAAGCACAGTTTTAAAAGCATTTAGTTCTTATTCAACACTGTAAACGCCTATTACAAAACCGAAGCCTACCATGGTATTCTCGCTTTTGTGTTGAACAAGTACATATTACCGGTTTAAAGCTTTTGTTTGATGACGTTGCTGAAATATTCACTTTCGTCACCTTCACGGGCGATACGGCAGGTGCCACATGTAGTTGCTTAAATTTTAAAAGCATAGGGTGTAAGTGTGATAATTATAACAGTATGTAGTAGCGAATCCGTCTGTTTTAATCTATGTGTATCGACTTTCAATTTCATTTTTTTATAATTATGTGTTGACGCTAATTGATATGTTTTTTGATATTGTGCTTACAAAAATATCATTTCCGGTGTCAATTGGTATACAGTTATTACGTACACTGTAATGTAACCTTTAGGTGTGAAAGGCATTGTGATATGGCTTGAAATAATGGTCAAAAGAAAAAATAGCATAAAGCTAGTGTATATACATGTAAGGCTATGAGAAAAAACAAACATTATTACATGTCTTTATGAAAGCATGATAAAACACGCTCTATCACATGTAATATAAAATGCAAGAGACGCTGTACACATACAATACAAACCATGTATATAAAGGATTGTCAGACAATGTGACAAGAGCATTACATATAAAGGACGAGAAACAAAATGATATAACATTTTATTATATTTGTCTTTCACACTGTGACAGATGTCAACAATGACATATGTCAGTGGAGAACATCTAATTTCATTATTGATCAATCAGAGCTGTATGCATTTTCATTACGGTATTTGAAATATAACCAAATACGGAAGGTATGTGATAAAAGCAAGAGCACACACTTGTGTTTTTCTAACGAATCAGAAAGCACTTATTTTTTGCGCGGACGTATATATTCACTCGTGCGCGGATTCGTCCGCGCAATAAACTCGTGCTTTCCGATTCGTTAAAAAAACACAAGTGTGTGCTCTTGCATATGTATATACAGTGTGATAGGAACGTTAAACACGCATGTGATTGCACCTATTTAATTAAATAATGTATACAGTTTGCCAAAATTAAACTACACTGCATCATACAGCTGTTGCTTTCTTCTATACCACATACGTTATGCTTAGAGTTAAAATCAGATATGGAAATTCTCATTCATCTAAAATAATGTTGAAACACAAGTGTTGGTGCATACAACCCTTTAACAATAGACATTTCAATTGTAAAAGGAATACTACTTAATTTCAACTGAAAAATGTTTACTGTGACCAGTGTGACTAAGACGGCTCATCGGCATAGTTCAACACATCGAATTTTGAAACATGATTTTGCGGTGACAGGCAGTTTACTTTAATCTGTTTAAGTGTGTATTTTACTAGTTTAATTTGCAGTTCATCCATTTCAGTTATAACCAAGTGCGCTGTACAAAAATATAACCAGTCCTTATAAATGGTAAATGGTACATTTTCTCAGTTGATGCCCCGTCCCACTTAACAGTTGCCTATGACCTATCCTGAATATGACAGGAAATATCATGGTAAATAGCATATGCTCACAGCTAACACTTACCTGTCTAAACCAGTGATTGCATACACCCACATATGATTTATCTGTTAAACAGGATACACGATCCTAGCAAGTATATTTCAATTCTAATGAAAAGGTTTAAAAGTGCCAATTAGTGTTGGACTTGGCTTGGGTTGAACGTTTATCAGAGGGTCACAAGTGGTAATATACATAGTAAACCGAATAACATCTACATTACACAGTATTTGTTGTAATAAGCAGCACAACCATATTTCTTTTTTGTTTCGTTTTACTGTTCCGCTGTGTACATGTGCTGGTACAGTATCATTGTAACGCGCGAAAGAATTAATTTTGATCACTACCTGGACGTGATTCAAAACATCAATTTGAGTATGAAATTGCGATTGCTAAAAGACGTTAGGAACGTTTTGTGACGTCAGCATCCCGTATTCAAGTAATTACAATAAAATTAATCTGGAATTTCCGAGCTCTATCAATCATGTTTGTTGTTTCCTATATTGGAGATAGATATGTTTGATTCAAACTAAGCTAAACCCCGTAGATATTACTGATGGTGGTAATCGCGCTATGTGGGCTGTGTGGTACTAAAAACTACATAGTGTATGCATGTATCCAATCACGGTTATTGCACGGATGTTGCCTTTTTTATACACAGGTCCATGGTTTGAATATCAGTTTAAGGCACTGTAACGTGTGTTGAGTATGGTAAACAAGTATCACGTGATTTGACAATATTTAAAAAATTAACACGTGAAAAACGTGATGCATGTACATGTGCATGTAGTTTGGGTTTTAGAAAGAATCTAACAATTCAATAAATACAGGAGATGATGCAGGTTGTATATGGCTAAGATAGTGACTAACACTTAAATACGTGACTGGCAAGATACAGGTGTCCCATATTTAAGTAGTGTTAATCGTCAAAACACATGCAGGAATTATAAATGTATTCTTTAACTTTAGGAGCATTCAGTCGGACACATTTACGGTAAGACGTTTTAGGTGTTGTGTTTCAACACTTGTGATATCCAAAAAAGTGTATGAATGCCTTTGCAATCACTCATTCACGTATATTTCTATATTAGAATCCCCTGATTGTCACATCTGATTTGCTCCAAGATGTTCCTGATATATATTCAACCAGTTGATCAATAGAAATGTCTGATTGAATTTGACCTGCATCAGCATTGTTTTTGGGTCACCATCCTGGCCCGGTTTATAACTATAATAATAACTCTGTGTCTTTCATAACTAAAGACTTGTTGAAAGTTTTACAAACCTTACTCTATTTGACGGAACCCATTATGATGGTTGCCATATATGTTACAGCAAATTCCCGAGTTAACATCTTCTGACACCTAAATGTATTACAATTGGAGTACATAACTCTGTGCCACACTGGACTATTTGTGTTGTGTATAAATCATTCCATGTAATAATCTCCGAGTATATTAATTCCCTATTAAGAGCAATACCCTCCAGCTGCTCCTATACTTAGTAAAGGTCAAGCCCAAAAGAAGACATTGTGCTACCCAGACTTCCTACGGAAATACATAAGGTTTACTTTAGTTTAATGGTACGTATGGCCTTAACACATTCAATAATGTGGGCCCTTTGGGAGTTTGAATCACCAATCATACCGCCTTAATAGGATGATACAGGACTTGTGCAGCGCAACACGTATAATATGGCAGTATGGACGTCATTTTGTCCGTCACATAAGCAGCCATTCTTCCAATGCGTACATATGTGACAAACAAAATATCAAAATAAACCCATATTATACGCATTATGCTATAACAGTTCCGTTGTATCTTACTTAGATAATACACTCCATACACATGTGTTTTCTATACTTGTAGGAATCTTTCTCCAATTAAATCATATAGATATCCTTTATGAAAACAAGCTATTTCCAAATTTTCTTAAGGGCAGTTTGTTTGCAGGTTTCAGTTTTCACGGTTTTGTGATTATGATGTTAAAACATCCTGCAAAATCAACGGCCCAATACTAGTTTCCGTGCGTTTAGTAGCACTCTCTGTCATAATTATAAGACATGAAATTTGCAAACAAATCCTAAATGTAATACTTATTCTCTGCAATCAATACTAAAAGCTTAGTATGCCAATAGAGTAAGAATCAAAAAAGGAACACACGTATAACAAAACCGGTAATGAAACGTATAGCGAGGTTGGGGATACATCCTTGATAAAGCTCCAAAATGTACAAATGTAGTATAAAAAGACATTTTTTGTAACGTAACTTTGTCCCACAAAACAAATTAAGCAGAAACAAAGAACCAAGATTTCCAACACATCCTTAAAGACTATTTGTAATGTACATTACATTAAGGTAGCAAGACCCATTGTTTATCAAACACAAAGAAATCACGATATACCAATACTGATCCCGTGTTATCTGACTGGTGGCGTTAGCACTACTGACGGGAACCGATTGAATATACTCACACCTCACTGTCACAAGCGTCCATCCGATATCACATATTACGATGACATCTACCAGGAAGTTGTATCCCGTGGGGACTATTTATCTTTGTTTACAAAATCTATCACGTACGAGACTGTGATGTTGACGTATTATTCTACGACAGTTCACCGATAAAGCTCATTTGTTAGCTCCCCATTTTCTATTACTGTTTAATTTTTGATTTTCCCAATAGGCAATGTTAAACAAAAAACAGCATATTCCCAGTAATCTCCACAGATTACATTTATACCATATTTGTGAGTGGTATTTTTTTTGTTTTTCTAAAGCAAATGTTAACGCTTTGACGTTTTTTCATATAATTCTGTAGACAGCGATGGCTTGATCTGAAAGCCAAATCTACTGACGATATATGTTTTTTCGTTATTGCAATTATAATGATAAATTAGATTGATTTAATTTAAGTTTAATTTGAATAATGTCTGAGATATCGTGATGATGCACATCTAATTTGGTGTAAGAAATGTTATCAGAATAACTTATAATAATTGATCATTTATGAAAAAAAAGCCATACCTTGCGCAAGATTTATGAAAACCGACAATAATATTTTGAATGAAAAGAAATGGAACGAAGCCAGAACAGGTTTCGAACACTAGTCTTCCGATAATCGTACTTGCGTTATCAACAATTGAGCTATCTGGCCAACGGTAGCACCCTTTCCCAGTCGCGCTACACATGCTTACTTAATTAAATAAAGGTTGCGAAATGATTGTACGGAAAACTGTATTGGAATTATATAACGTTTAGTCTGCCGTATGACAGAGATCCTTAACGTATCGAGGATAACGATGTGCCCCGGTTTTAAATGCATACATAAATTTCGGCCA